GGTTTGAACGAACGGCACTATGGCAGCCACTATAGTCTTATAATACAAAATAGGAAGAGATATGAAGAGTTACGAGTTGGGAATGACTCCCAGCTCCTACAAACCCCAAGAGCCGAGGTACAGTGATGTGGAACAATGCCACACTGTCCCCAACCACGAAGGGTCTCGAAACTACCCTTCACTAGGGCCTACACCAAGTGAAATGTTACACTACACAAAGTAATGTAACTATCTTCAATATCTTGAGGTGTACCCTTTTGGCGAGCTTCGAAATCACTTGAGGCTTGACACCAAGGTTCGGGCTCTTCATCACAAACTCATCCTTGAGTTCTTGATGGGTCTGCTGCACACACCTGCGACACTCCGAACGTTCAACACAGGACAAAATAGAAACCACGCACGACAAAAATAGAAACCGCGCGCGAGACACAAACGACCGCGTAACACGCGTCTAGCGATAACTCGCTATTGACTCGACACACACACTCGACATCATGACTCAACATTCACACACAATTATAAGCATGAAATATATATTATCCCATGCCCTCATACCATTCCATACACACACACATGCACGCACACGGACAACAAGCCGAGTGCAAACCGTAGGGTTGCACCAACAGTACAGGTGGTGAGGAGGTAGGGGGAGATGCTGGTGTGGTTTAGGGCATGCTGTGCTTGGCCAGGGAGGTGGAGGGTGTTGGGCTAGTAGGTGTGAGCACTAGTGATGTCCCACGCATGCTTGCTGGGGCACTGCGTAGCCCTGAGGGCCCTGCATGGAAGGCATGCACTCAGAAAGAGGTAAATGCAATGCGCACTATGGATTTATGGGATCAAGAGCCGGTTGACTTACCTCCAGGTAAGAAAGCCATTGGGGTCAAGTACGTCTTCTGCAGGAAGACTGATAAGGAGTATAAGGTGGTACAGCACAAGGTTCGCCTTGTTGCTAAGGGGTATAATTAGGAGGCCGATAAGGATTTTGATCAGGTATTTGCCCCTGTGGGCAAGCTTACCTCAGGTTGGGTGCTTCTTGCAAAAGTCGCGGTAAAAGGGTGGCATGTACAACAGGAGGGTGTTGATCCCAGTTCGGTGGCCACATATCCGGGATGAAGAGCCGCACTCCAGCCAGCGAATCGAGGTCACCAAGCTTTGACTGGAGATTGTTGACGAGCAGCTCGGCCATGTCGGTGCAGAGCACGACACAGGCGTCATGATGGCCGGGTCCAAAGTAGTTCTTGTTTTTGCACTTGTGGAGGTCGAAACGGAAGCGGTTCATACTGCTGTGCGACGAGGCACCTTCCACCACCATCTGCGGCGACCCTTGTGGCCCGTGATTGGTGATGAACCAATACAGAAGCTCGCTGGTGCCGCCGCCACAAAGAGAGAGAGGTTGTGTTCAGGATCTGAGTGTGCACGAGTGGGTAGTCGAGCTGCCACACACGAATCACACCGGTAGTTAGTACTAGTACTTCAAATAACAAGAATCTGAAAAACCAATGAACCGTCACTTACCTCCCGATGCTGGAAAACCTTGGAGAGGACGTCCAGCAGATCTAGCACGTCCGCTAGAAACCTCACAAGGAACTGGAAGCGATAAGACGTTACCAACTCGTACATCGTCTAGTCCTTCCACTCGGACAGCATAACAATGATGGCGGGCATGACTTTGACAAACCGCGACACTGCAGCACCCCGCGACAGCCATCGAACCTCGTGTATGCCTTGCATCTCGAGGTTCGTGGATGTGAAGACCTCTTGGAGCTCCAAAAAGCATTGATGCAAAGGACCCGAACGCCCAAGGTACTCTGCGACGGCGCGGATGACGTCGTCGACCATGTTGAAGGTCGGGATCTTTTCTGCTGCAGCTTTTGCAGCCAATGCTTCTCTGCAAGTAACACAACACACACACGATTATAGAGTTATATAGCAACACTACCTTAAACATGTTGTTAAAAATGCAGAGCCAGACGTACTGGTGTGCGATGCAGTGGAATGAGACGAGGTTGGGGATGAGCATTCGGATGCGTGCAACCACTCCTGTATGCTGCCCCACCATGACCATTGCGCCGTCTATGCTCATGCCCGATATTCGGCGGAGGTCCACGCCGACAGCCCTGAGGTGGGAAAGGAGCAGGCTTGAAAGGGATGCAGCATCTACCTTCTCAACAGTGAGATGTGCAAGGAACTCAGTGACGACAACACCATCGCGGATGAAGGTGGCAAACACAATCATGTGTTTGCCACGTCGCCGATCGGTGCTTTCGTCCAGCGTGATCCCAATGAAGGGACTCGTTAGAAGATGCTCCAGCTACGTTGTTTGGAGCCAAGTCGCGATTGCTTGAGTCAGCTCACCAAAGCCATACCTGTAAATGAAAAAACAGCACGGTAGTGAGCGGCAAACGAAATGCAAATTTGAGGGCAATGTTTTGAGAATTGTAAAAGCAGGAATCAATTATGTGTTGTAGTATGTGCCGTGTCTATTCTCTGGAAACCCGGGCACCTTCTTCTTTGCAAGGTAGCGGACAAGCCGGATCCATGAGTCCATGGGCTCGTTGCACTTGCTCATGAAGTACAACGACTCCGGTAGTGTCGAGATCCATCTCCTTGTCCTGTGCCTTGGGGTGTAGATCGATGCGGCGTTGTCCCTCCACTTTCTACAGCAGGTCATCCTGCCTCTGCAGTGCTAACCGATGCTTTGAGGTACCCTCATGCTTCTTGAAGGCCTGCGTATGCACGTCGGTAGCGCCTTCCACGCCGTCCACATTTGCCTGCCAATCTCGCGAATTCCATGCAGATGCTGCACTTAAAAGAGGGGGGCACCAGCAGAAGTCTTAGTTAGTATCAGCCATGGATAATCCGTACACCACCTCGACTTGAAACGGTCGTGCGCTTCTTCGTATTTCAGCTCAACTTTCTCGGGACGGGGTTTAGAGCTGTCCTGATTGGGTGATTCCTCCGCCACAGGAGCATGAACACTCGAAGCAGATGGTGGAGTTCCCCACGCAATGGTGGCCTGCCGTAAACGCAGCTTTGGTAGTGGCGCGAGACGGGATGGAGTTTCGGCGGACGCCTCATGTAGCTTCGTCTGAGGCGTGTTTGTCACATGTTCAGTGGCGGCTTCGGGCAGAGAATCCAGGTGCACTGATTCTAGAGCGTGACTCGTGCTGGGCAGAGACGGTGCCGCTGGCGGTGCACAGGGCGTAGCTAAGGACGACTTAAGAAAGTCGAGGCCCGTCGCCATGTCGCCTAGACGGCGACGGCCTACATCGTCGTCGTCGTCGTCGTCCAGCTCGTCGGCAGCAGTGTCTGTGGCAGCCATTGAGTCTGCCGAGCAGTGTTTTGCTAGGTTGGGAGAAGCTGCTTGAAACGAGGGATCAGGCAGTAGTAACAGGGGATGGCAAAGATCCGAGGGAGAGCCAGGCGACAGAGGGAATTGCAGGAACGGTCACGCTGGGTGAGTTGAGGAGGTCCCCTTTTTAGGACCTCAGTATGAAACCCTCACTACTCCCTGCATGCACTGCACCTGGTCGTGTATGCAGCGCAGGTGGGGTGGGGTGGATGGTTCTGGTGTCGTGCATGGCGCAGCGCATTGCGAGCTATGCGTTGGCAAGGAATGTTGCAAACACTAGTTGCTGTACAGGGCCGATTGGTTGGAAATGTCGCTGATGGCAGCTTTGCTGTACCAACGCGACAGAGCGGTGCCGCGGTGGGGAAATACAGTTTACCGGCCGTGATTGACGGTGTCATACCTACACACCGCCTCGCTGGCCAGAATCCCCGTAATCCCGGAGTGCACCCCCGATAGTAGGCTGAGGCACAGCGTACACTCATACTTTGAGGCTGTAAAAACAAAGAAGGCATAAATAAAAACTCTGGAAAATCAGCCAGCATACATAAAAAAAAAAAAAAAAAAAAAAAAAAAAAAAAAAAAAAAAAAAAAAAAAAAAAAAAAAACCTTCGACTTTAGCCTAGTGTATAGAAAAAAACCTTATCTAATGTTGAATCGGCGTAAAAAGTCTGATACCTAGGGTCGTGCTGTGTATGTATTGGTGTATGTGGATGACCTCTTGCTTGTGTCTCCACGCTTGGAGGTGATCGGTCAAGTCAAGGAGGTCCTTGCTCAGAGGTACCAGATGAAATATCTAGGTGAGATATCCACTTACCTTGATGTGGAGGTTCGCAGGTTGGTCAATGATGGGTGGTTAGAGATTGGTCAGAAGAAGTATGGCCGTGGTTTTCAGGAAAGGTTTAGCGATCTGCTGAAGGAAACACATAAGGTGCATACTCCTATGTCACCCAATGATGTCTCTAAGATGGTACTTGGTCGAGTGAGGAAGGTGCTGCATCTGATGTCAAGGTGTACGAGAGTCTCATTGGCAGCTTGATGTATGCTGCTGTGACTACCCGTCCTAACATGTCCTTCACTGTCAACACCCTTGCACAGTCTTGCGTGGCATTAAGACGCATTCACATGCGCGCTGCACTGAGAGCACTCAGGTACTTGGTCGACACAGCTGATCGTGTCATCATGTATGAACGCCACAGTGTTGAGCAGTTTGTTGAGAACACCGACTCGGATTGGGGTGGTGAGACTGATGGCAAGAGTCGGTCTGCCTACATCTTTTAAGGAGGAGCAAAAGGCAAGAGAGTGTTGCAGCAAGCGTCTCTGAAGCTAAGTATGCTCCATCGGAGGGGGCGAAGGAGGCCATTTGGTTGAAAAGTTTGTTGGTAGAGATGCATGTGGGGGATGGGTGGGCTACGATATTCTATTGCTCAGCTATAATAAGGCTGCTGTCTCCCTTGCCCACAACTTGCCCAAGTTGGCTCCTAAGTTTCCTAAGCTTTAGGAGGAGGTTCTAAGACTACCATTGCTTCCGCTAGTAACTTGGATCATTCCAGTAGTTCCACCCATGCAACAAAGTAGAAGCATTGCATCACATCATCTTGGTAGCAGTGGACAACGCTCACATCATCATTGTTACAGGGCAAGCAGGAGGTCAGCGGTAGAGGGATTGGGTCTGCATGTTGTTGGCAATCTCCGTCTCCCACCGGTCCCCATTCTCCAACAGCTTCTCCTTGTCATACAGCAGCTCCTGGGGGGGAGAGGGGAGCCAGTGAGACAAGGATGAACAGCAAGAAAGGGTGAACGGTATGAAAGGGTGAACAGCAAGAAAGGGTAAACAGTATGAAGGGTGGGAGGCGAAGAGAGAAGAGGAGAAGAGAAGAGAAAATGGTGGGGGTGGGAGAAGAGAGAAGAGACGCAGAAGAGACGAAAGAAGAGAGTAGGGAAGGGTGGAGAGAAGGGAACATGGAATGGCAGGAAAAGAATATGAAGCAGGGACCAAACTTTGATGAATCCGCACCTCCTCCTGTCACAGCTCTTTCCTCTCCCACCCACACACACTCTCATAACGTATAAGGCCCTCACCCGCTCCCACCCTCTGTCACCCTCCCCTTCCCCCCTTTCCCACTGCGGGAGTCTCGACGGTAAATTTACAGTTGGGTCCCTCCACAACGGCGTCAACGGGACATGCCTCCCTCGCCCTCTCCCCCCGCCCACTCACAAAATCTCCCCCTACTGGCCGCCTCCCCCCCCCACCTCGTGGGTCTCGGTGGCGAACTCGAAGTTGGGGCCCTCCACGATGGCGTCCACGGGGCACGCCTCCTGGCACAGCCCGCAGTAGATGCACTTGGTCATGTCTATGTCGTACCTGCAGGGGGGTGAATGGGATGGGGGAAGGATGGGTTTAAACAAGGAGGTTGGGGGGGGCTTCGGAGCATATGTGGATGCACTTGCTCATGTCCGTGTAAAGCATGCATACATTGGCAGGAGGAGAGAGGGGCGAGGTGGGGAAATTTAGATCGCAAAATTGAATGCACTTACACTCTGTATCTAACAAGATTGGGAGAGGGGAAGAGAGGAAAGAGGTCCACGGGTGCATGGTTGCATGCATGGGTGCATGGGTGGGTGCATGGGTGCATGCATGGATGGTTGCATGGGTGCATGGTTGCATGGGTGCATGGGCGCACGGGTGCACGGGTGCATGGGTGCATGGATGCATGGGTGCATGGGTGCGTGCATGGGTGCATGGGTGCATGGGTGCACTGGTGCACGGGTGCATGGGTGCATGGGTGCGTGCATGGGTGCATGGGTGCATGGGTGCATGGGTGTATGGTTGCATGGGTGCATGGTTGCATGGGTGCGTCGTTGCATGGGTGCATGGGTGCATGGTTGCATGGGTGCATGGTTGCATGGGTGCACTGGTGCATGGGTGCATGGGTGCAAGGGTGCATGCGTGCATGGGTGCATGGGTGCATGGGTGCAAGGGTCCATGGGTGCATGGGTGCATGGGTGCATAGGTGCATGGGTGTGAGGGTGCATGGGTGCATGAGTGCAGGGGTGCATGGGTGCATTGATGCGTGGGTGCATGGGTGCATTGATGCATGGGTGCATGGATGCATGGGTGCATGGGTGCATGGGTGCATGGATGCATGGGTGCATGGGTGCATGGGTGCGTGGGTGCATGGATGCATGGGTGCATGGGTGCATGGGTGCATGGGTGTATGGGTGCATGGGTGCATGGATGCACGGGTGCATGGGTGGCATCCTCACCTCGTGGTTCGCCTGCTGCCATCCTCACGGGCCTCTGCTTCGATCGTGATGGCTTGGGCCGGGCACACCTGGGGCACAAGGAGACATGGAGAGAGCACACGATGGAACAAGGAAAGAGAGGGGGATACGGTGGGAAAGAGAGGGAGATACGGCGGGAAAGAGAGGGAGATACAGCGGGAAAGAGAGGGAGATACGGAGGGAAAGAGAGGGAGATACGGAGGGAAAGAGAGGGAGATACGGAGGGAAAGAGAGGGAGATACGGAGGGAAAGAGAGGGAGATACGGAGGGATAGAAAGAGGGAGATACGGAGGGATAGAAAGAGGGAGATACGGAGGGAAAGTAAGAGGAAGATACAGCGGGAAAGTGAGAGGGAGATACGGAGGGAAAGTGAGAGGGAGATACGGAAGGAAAGAGAGGGATATACAGAGGGAAAGAGAGGGAGATACGGAGGGAAAGAGAGGGAGATACGGAGGGAAAGAGAGGGAGATACGGAGGGAAACAAAGGGAGATACGGAAGGAAAGAGAGGGAGAAACGGAAGGAAAGAGAGAGGGAGAGGGGTGCAGTTGTCGCCAGTTCTTGTAGTTTGAAATATCTGTCCTTTGCTATCGATTCTTTTACCAGTCGACGTGGTGATAGGAAGGAGCCTTAGTTGGTACTTTACGTTTTTTTGGGTCACGTAAACGTAAACTTACGCTTGAGTTTACCTTTACGTTTTCTTACGCGTAATTTTACGTAAAGTCGCACGGGCAGGGCAAAAAAAAGTTTTTTTGCCCGCGAAACGAAAAAATCTGACTGATATGAGGTGGGAGAGGCTGCTACATGTTTGTGTAGATTTGGGGCATCTGTAAGTTGATGTAATAATGTGCTAACATGCTTGGGCGTAGAAGAACCAAGCTAGTGATAGATTAGGCGCTTCCCATGAAGCCACTTAGTCCGATGATTTCTTATATTTCCGGGCAGTTAGAACTGTTTCTAGCTGACCGTAAACGTAAAGCCATTTTTAGCCCACGTAAGTAAACGTAAGTTTACTACGTAAAGTCACGTAAACGTAAACCACCGTAAACGTACAATACCAACTAAGGAAGGAGCAATAGAGAGGGAGGGAGATTTGGAGAGCGACTGGGTGATGGATTTTGTCAAACTTGACTGACGTCACACAAAAATAAACTGTCTCATTTGTGAGAGAGAAGACAGGAAACAGAATGCACGAGAAGACAGGAAACAGAATGCACGAGAAGACGGATAACAACGTATGAATGCACGAGAAGACAGATAACAACGTATGAATGCACGAGAAGACAGATAACAACGTATGAATGCACGAGAGGACAGATAACAACGTATGGATGCACGAGAAGACAGATAACAACGTATGAATGGGAGGAGAATGGCAGGAAAGCAGCAGCGCCACTCACAGCCTTGCAGAGATTGCAGGGGATGCAGCAGTCTCATCAACCCCAACTCACGGATTCACGGCTTCACACACAGCTTGGACCCACCCCCCTCCCCCCACCGCATCCCTGCCCCCTTCCACTCACGGCCTCGCAGAGCTTGCATGCGATGCAGCGCTCTTCGCCAGTGGGGTAGCGCCTCAGGGCGTGCTCGCCCCTGAAGCGCGGACTCAGAGGGCCCTTCTCAAACGGGTAGTTGATCTGCCATGCCCCGGGAGAAAGGGCGTGGCGAGACAGGGAGGAGATGCAGAAGAAATGGACTTATGGGAAGAAGGAGAGGAGTGGATTCTCTGAAACGGTTCCAGGGGCGGTAGAGATTTACAAGGAGCGCTGTTTGGTCTGAACGGCTAAATGTTGTGCAGAAGAGTTGCTTTGAAGCAAGGCTCTCCCACGGCAGTTCCTGACAGCAGTTGCCAGCCGCATTTCCCAGTGGCAGGTTCATTTGAACAAAAAACTTGACAATCACCACCCCCACGACACACGTGCACACACGCATGCACTGACGCACGCATTCATTCATGTGGTCAACCACACAACATACTCACCCACTCACAGCAGCTGCGCTCTAACAAGCTCGCAGCGGGCCACGACACAGCATGGCATGGCAGGCACGGCACGCGAATCCCCCTTACAGTGAGCTTCTTATCGAAGAAGTACTTGAGCGTGAGGCCCATGCCGCGCGCCAGCTCCGTGACCAGCAGCGTGTTCATGTTGCGCTCCAGCACTGCCACGGGTGGGGAAGTGGGGTGGGCACACGCGCACATGCACGGGTGGGACCACGTGGAAGGCAGGGGAAAGCCACACGAGATTGCCGTTTGGCAGGGAGGGAGAATTGACGGCCGTTGCAACGAATGCAATGCCTCGCATTGCATCATGGAGACTGTCGCCTGCAGCGCCTGGGCTTTCTGATGATGGGCTGTGGGGGTGAGAGGGAAGGTGGAACGGCCAACAGCAGTGACAGGATTTTCCGCCTTAATCGCGTGTCAGTACGTGAATACATGGGGCCTGTTGAATTGGTTCGATTACTGCGAGTCATTTACGCCAAGTCATTGGTATGGGATGATGAGAAAGGCATCACAAGTGTCGGATACTTGGTTCGATCAACTCGGATCACCAGCATGCGCGCACGCACCTGTATTGAGGTCGGCATGCGGCTCGGGCTTGGATGATGGCGGAGGGGCTTCCGGAGCTGATGCGCGAGAGCAGGATCGGGAGAGGCTCGAAAAAGGTTCGGGGAGAGGCGGAGGAGGGAGATGAAAAATGAGGCGAGAGAGATGAGAGATGACACGAGGGAAATGCGGGGACGACAATCCAAGTAGGTTGACTAAGTGACCGTGATTGGTTTGGATGAGTTGTGACAGCGACGTGGCCATGCGATGAGTTGTGACAGCGACGTGGCCATGCGATGAGTTGTGACAGCGACGTGGCCATGCGATGAGTTGTGACAGCAGCGTGGCCATGCCGGGATAAACGCTATCTAGCTCACGCCAACATGCCGGGGTTCTAAAACATCACAGAGACATCGCACAGCGAAACCCGTTGGTTCTCTGTTGGGCTAAAATGGTTTATTAATCGTATGGTGATCACGCGACGAGAAACAGGTCGTGGGAACTCGATTATTCGCCAGATCACATCGCAGGACATCCCTAATCGCCTCGCCATAATTAATACCCGACGTGTAATGTAGAAACATACAGGCGTAGAGGCGATTCGGGTAAACACAGCAGCGCTACGGAGTGCATGAAAAGCTTGAACTAAAAGTTCGATCCTTTATAAGTACGAATCGCGGACTATGCAAGAAAGCGATCTCAATACGCACTGCTTTGCAAACTGTTTTGCGACGCCGCGAAGCCACGCGCGTAGACGGTGCTGACGGGGCATGACGTGAGCCGGCGAGCACAGCGAATAGCGGCGGGAAACATGGCGACGGAGACGGCGTGAAGCCAACGTTTTGATTGGCCGAACACGCGATGCCCACAATACCCAGACGATAGGCGGTAGTCTGTGGGAAAAACGTGTTACAACAATCAATGGCTGCCTTGTGGAACGGCAGATACGGAGAGCTGTGTGTCTTGACAAAGTCAAGGCAATGGAGTTGCACTGGTGAAGAAATACCCACGCCTAGAGCATGAGGGAGACGGGGTTTCGATGCGGTTCAACTGGGTTCAGGAAATCGACTCAGCATTTGGGACTGAGGCGCTGAAAAACATTGTCAGGTCCATACATCCTCATTGTTAGTTGTCCATGGAAGTTAATAACGAGTTTGTGAATACACATGGTCCGCGCTAATTTCACTCTCCAATTTCACAAACAACATGGTCGCAGCGGAAGATCCAGTCTTTCCATTGCGGTCACCAGGTTAGACTTGTACAACATCAAGAATTTACAATGCCACGGATAGCCTCTAGTTCCGTGGGTGTCTGATCCCTAGAGTCAAAGAAGGTCAACGAGGCTTTAAGTAGAAACTTACGGGGTGTGAAACTGGTGCGGGCTGAGTGTACGATTACTTAGCAAACAACGAAACCCGACAATAATATAGCACGATACCTAGTTACGGTAGGTGAGGACCTCGGGCGAGGTTGGGCTAAGGCTACGAGGCGAGGTCATCGGACCGAACCTAGTATTTTGAAAAGTTGGAGTCGTACGAGTGGTAGCGTAACTGAGTAAGGAATCAAGAATATTCCTTACTGTTGTTATAACTGAAAGATCGTAGTGGATAGGATAAGTCTGTCAAGGTTTGAGGGAAGACATTTAAGTCGTTGTAGTGACCTTGTTGTAGTTGAAAGAAAACAAGATGATTATACCAGGTAGGAGTACAAGGATATAAATAACAATCCTAGCTAGCCATTGTGAAGGTTAGAACGAGAATGAAGAAGAGAGGAAGGGAATGGGTTTCACTAGCAGCAGTTGGGATACATATAGCAAACCCTAACAGGGTTGTACTTGCTATAGAGCACCCCACTACAAGCTAGATAATTATAACATTCTGACACACCCCCATAGCCAAAGTGGGGTGTAATCAGCACAATGAGCAAGCATGTATAGAGCAGGAGTTCACAATAGCGAGCAAAGCTAGAGTCATTCACAAAGGGCAAGTGAGGAGGAGGAGGCGAGACTGTAAGAGGAGAGGAGATAGGAGGCGACGGCTGAAGCTGTAGACACACGGGCAACAGGAGTCACACTGGCACAACGGCTACCGGAACAACGCTCCGGACTACTGGAGTAACTGGCTCTGCGGCTAAGACTAGCGGCAGACGAGCAACGGACCCACGGGCGACTGGCACAGCTGGCTACGACAGGGCTACCGGAGCAACGCCCCGGACTACTGGTGCTGCTCACGACACGACGACAACCTCTGTTCAACCAACCTCTTCCAGCTGCCCCACACCTCTCGACACACACCCCCTGCTCAAACCCTAGCTCCACTCCCATAGCACCCCCCTTACACCCTAAACCGCAGGCTCACACACATCCACCTCCCTCAAAACCCTAGCTCCACTCCCACAGCAACCCCCTTAAACCCTAAACCCCAGGCTCCCACACATCCACCCCCCTCAGTGACAGCTGCAGCAGTGGGAGACAAAGGAGGAGGAGGAGCAGGGGAGACCACACACCCGTCACCCCCTACTCGCCACCCCCAGACCCTAACACAGGGCAGGGCGGGACGGCGGGTAGGGAGGTTAAGGGGGGGGGGGGCGACGCGCGGTCTCCTAGGGCGCCAAAACAGGCGGTAGAAGGGGCGATGCTCGCCCCCGCGGCCCCCTCAGGTCGCCTCGACAGGCGACGGGAAAAGGGGGGGGGGGGGGGGGGGGGCGGTGCACGTGCCCCCGGTGCGCCGCGGCTGGCGACGGGGCATGGCCGGGGCGGGGCCGGGGCAGGGTCGAGGAGGGGCCGAAAGGGGCGGCGACGGGGCCGCAAGTGGCGGCGACGAGGCCGCTGGAGGCGGCGACGGGGCCGATAGGGGCGGCGACGGGGCCGCTAGGGTCGGCGACAGGGCCGCTGGCGGAGACAACGGGGCCGCTGGCGGCGACGACGGGGCCGATAGGAGTGGCGACGGGGCCGCTAGGGTCGGCGACGGGGCCGCTGGCGGCGACGGGGCCGCTAGGGTCGGCGACGGGGCCGCTGGAGGTGACGACAGGGCCGTTGGCGGCGGCGACGGGGCCGATAGGAGCGGCGACAGGGCCGCTAGGGTCGGCGACGGGGCCGCTGGCGGTGTCGACGGGGCCGATAGGGGCGGCGACGGGGCCGCGAAGGGGCCGCGAGGGGTCTGGAAGGGCGGCGACTGGCCGCGAAAGGGGCGGCGACGGGGCCACGAAGGGGCCGCGAGGGGCCTGGAAGGGCGGCAACGGGGCCGCGAAGGGGCCGCGAGGGGCTTGGAAGGGCGGCAACGGGGCCGCTAAAAGTAGCGCGAGGGGCACGCCACTGGGCGTGCCGAACACAGAGTAGCAGCGGAAGCAGTTGAGTGGGCCCACACGCCAGAACCGTAGATGCTCTGATAGCATTTGAAGGTTAGAACGAGAATGAAGAAGAGAGGAAGGGAAGGGGTTTCACTAGCAACAGTTGGGATACATATAGCAAACCCTAACATGGTTGTACTCGCTATAGAGCACCCCACTACAGGCTAGATAATTATAACATTCTGACAGCAATGTACTCTGAGAGGTACATTCCCTTATTTAACTGAATTACATTCCTACAGTAACCACGACTATTGCGATTATTGACAGTTACTGTGTTGCATTGCGTAACTACCCAGTGCGGTTACTGGGCAGTCAAGGGCCACGACCATTGACTGTCTTCGACTGTTGACCTTCAGGTGACCCTCGACCTTCCGCATGCTCTATATGAGCTATTGCGATACTGATACAGGCATGTTGCTTCGTTATGGAGTGGCGCGCGAGTGGAGAGCCTTTGGGAATGTTATGATAACCTTTTGGTTATTCAAACACTTACAATACCCCTTCCCCCCTTTTAGGAGATGTGATCCATATCAGGCACGCATCCGAAGAAAGGGATAATTTTTTTCAAACTAGCCCAAAACCAATATGAGGCCCTGCTCGTAGTACCAAGAGTCTCCGAAGCGAGTTAGGCGTGATCCATGTGTCATCATCGCTTGCCTGGTCAACCCGCGGGAGTAAGAGGTTGACGCAGCGTCTGATTGTCGTCAAGCGCACGCGATGACTGAGAACTTTACAAGGTTCAAGTGTAGGCTCTATATTCAGCGTGCAATGGCTGACGACAGTGCGGCAAACGGTTGCATCGAAATAAGCGTCGAGAGAATTGGGGCAAGGGGATATAAAGTGTTAACCTAAACAAAATATTGTACCCTTTAAAGGGCAACTCAGTGTAGCCTAGAGTAACTAACCATATCTAAATGATATAAACGTTTGACACACCCCCATAGGCTTAGTGAGGGGCATCAAAACAACCAAGGGAAACAAATGGTCACAAGACCAGTCGAGAGAAGCAACAAGTCAACTCTTAGGGTGGATCTCAAGATCACCACACAGTCCAAGCACAAAGAAACGACCACAAGGCCAATTCAAGAATTAACAAATATATAGATGCAAGGACAAAAAGAGCAAGCAACAAGAAATGAGTCTACGGTACACGAACACCAGAGTCAACAAGTCCTAATTGCAGACAGAACCTGTGGTGGTCACTAGGCGCTAGGGCCTAGTGAAAATGTTTAATGTGTTGGCCGCTAAGGCCACGAAGTCCAAGCGTGCGTGGCCGCGTCGCTGCATGTCTCGTAGGAGAAAGTACCTCACGTCAATGTGCTTCACTCCGCTCTCCACTCGAGGCTCTCGACAAATGAGGATCATGCCCTTGTTGTCAACGAACAAGGTCAGTGCAGAGCGAGGCCGCTCACCAAGGTCACTGAGCAAGAAAGTCAACCAACGAAGTCCTGCGCAGCCATGGCACCAGCGTAGATCCCTGCCTCAGCGCTAGACGAGACGATAGACGACGACCGAGTACACCTCCAGCGCCCAAGCTGAAGCAGTACCTCTGAGTGAACCTCTGTATCTCCACGTCGTTGGCGTAGGAAGAGTCGAAGTGACCGGTCAGAACAACTGGCTGTCTCCCTCCAAGCACAAGCCCCATGCTTGAAGTTGTCGCCAGGTACTTCGCGACCCTCACAGCATCTGTCCAGTGAACAAGACGGTGTCTATAAGTCGCAAAAAAACGAGAGAGGAAGCTGAGAGGAAAGTGTCAGAATTATATTCTTATACCTGCATGTAGTTCTAGCTGTAGTGTAGATATGAACTTTATAGGTGGTGCACCTCTTTCTTCACTTGTTTGCTATATGTACTCTCTTGCTATAGTGAACACCATTCCCATTCTCGACTCTCCCTCCTTGGCACAAACTAGCTCGACCCCCTTGGCCTAGGCTACTAAGCCTAGGCCCACTTAAACCTAACTACCTACCCACTTCTCATTCTTGACATGGTAGTAGAGACTGTTAAGTCCTGGCCTGTGGGCCCGCCTCACGCTTCCGCTGCTGTTTTTCCGATCGCGCGCCTCGGGCGCGTGGCAATTCTCGTTCTGTCCCGCGCCCGGGTGGTGCGTGACGTTTTTTCTGCCCGTCGCGGACCCGCCCCTGGCGCCCGCAACAGTGCCCTGAGCCGCCGCGGATCCGCCACTGGCGCCCGCGACGGTGCCCTGAGCCGCCGCGGAACTGCCCCTGGCGCCCGCGACGGTGCCCTGAGCCGCCGCGGACCCGCCCCTGGCGCCCGCGACGGTGACCTGAGCCGCCGCGGACCCGCCTCTGGCGCCCGCGACGGTGCCTTGAGCCGCCGCGGAACCGCCCCTGGCGCCCGCGACGGTGACCCGAGCCGCCGCGGACCCGCCTCTAGCGCCCGCGACGGTGCCCTGAGCCGCCGCGGACCCGCCCCTGGCGCCCGCAACGGTGTCCTGAGCC